AGAGGGTAAAGTACAGCGGGGGGGTGTTCGTGGCGAGGAACTCGTCGGTAAGAGCGGCTCGAAAGCGGGCGTCACTAGCGCGGAGGTGAGTGATAAGGTCGGCAGCAGTGTGAAACGAGGCTAAGTCTGGGAACAGGTAAGGCAGGATGAGACTACCAACGGTGGCTGTGGCCGGGGCGGAATAGCGGGCAACGACAGCATCATACAGCGTCTTAGCAGTCTTAAGCTGGTTGAAATGCGCGCGCTCAGAGATCGGTAGGTGATTGCGAATAACAAGGCGCGCGACTGCATCGCGGAGCTCCCACTGAGCTCGATCAGGGGCAGGAGCATTCTCAGCGGGAGTAGGGACAGCGCCAGTGACATAGGCTAGCAGTGATACTCCGTCTGCGACGTCAGTCATAAGGTAAAGCCGCAGATCACTAAGCCAGGTGTCAAACTCGATGGGGCGGCCGTCAGGCTCAAAGGCGAGAACAGTAAGGGTCGCCATGGTTGCAGCGCAGGCAAAAGTAGCAGGCTCAGGCAGCAGGCTCAGGCAGCAGGCTCAGGCAGCAGGCTCAGGCAGCAGGCTCAGGCAGCAGGCTCAGGCAGCAGGCAAAGGCTGCAGGTTCAGGCAGCAGGCAACTGTAGCAGGCAGGTGCGCAAGGCAGACACGTGCTCAAGGCAAGTAGGCAGGCAGACGGTAGAGGCGCAAGGCAGGCACGAAAAGACAGGGTAAACCCTAAACCCTGGCGGCAGGTACAGGCGGACGCAATGCACGGGGCAGCAATGCGCTGTACGAGCGGCGAACGCGACGTGCAGGGCCTAGGCGGGCTGCGCGCGGACGGTAGGTGCAGCGCGCAGCTCTGGAGTGGGCCGCGCAGGCAGCAAACGCGACGCGCGGGGCGGAAAGGGGCTGCGCGCGAGCGACAGACAGATGCGACGCGCGGGCTGCAGACGGGCTGCGCGGGGCCTTAGCGGGCTGCGCGAGGCAGGGACGGGCCGCGCGCGGGCTGCGCGGGCTCAGGGCGGGCTGCGCGGGCGACGTATGGGGCGCGACGCGAGAGACAGCAGCAGCGAGCGCAAAAAAAAAAGGCGTGCGCGCGCAGCCGAGGCGCGCGCGGGCAGCAGGCTAGGCAGATATACAGGCAAGGCAGGTAGGCAGGCCGTTGGTGAGGTAACTTAGTAACTGGTGGGCCCTTAAACTTAGGTCCTAAGAACCTGCTCTAGATGCCATGTCGAGATAGCTAGGCAAGGTTGGTTGCATTGACGAGAGAGATTGGTACAAGAAACACAACCCTAAAGTGTTATCCCCTATAACATCTACCCCACTACAGCCTACCACTAATATAAAACATATAAATATGTTTGACATTTTTAGCCCTATTTCTCCTCACATTCAGGTAGTACATCCTATTCCCTAGCCATAGGAACTGGTTTGAGATCATTCGCACAACTACGCAGCACGTGACTCTTGTATGTGTGTTTGATGGCTTGAAACTGTGCAAGGATAGGCATATACGCAACATGTCATCGTTTAATCATCTCGATGTATTCTTTAGCCTATTTCTCCTCACATTCAGGTAGTAAATTGTTTTCCCAAGCCATAGGAACTGGTTTGAGATCATTCGCACAACTACGCAGCACGTGACGCTTGTTTGTGCGTTTGATGGCATGAGTCTGTGCAAGGATAGGCATGTACGCTACATGTCACCGTTTGATCATCTTGATGTTTTTTTAAGCCCTATTTCTTCTCACATTCAGAAAGTAGATCCTATTCCCTAGCCATAGGAACTGGTTTGAGATCATTCGCACAACTACGCAGCACGTGACGCTTGTTTGTGCGTTTGATAGCGTGAAACTGTGCAAGGATAGGCATGTACGCAACATGTCACCGTGTTATCATCTGGATGGTTTTTTTAGTCCTATTTCTCCTCAAATTCAGGTATTAATTCTATTCCCTACCCATTGCACCTGATTTAAGCTCATTCGCTCAACTACGCTGCACGTGACGCTTGTTTGTGCGTTTGATGGCATGAAACCGTGCGAGGATAGACATGTGCGCAACACGTCACCGTTTTATCATCGTGATGTTTTTTTTAGCCCTATTTCTCCTCACATTCAGGTATTACATCCTGTTCCCTAGAAATAGAACTTGGTTTGAGATCATTCGCACAACTATGCAGCACGTGACGCTTGTTTGTGCGTTTGATGGCATGAAACTGTGCAGGGATAGGCATGTGCGCAAGATGCACCGGTAAATCGTCTGGATGTTTTTTTTAGCCCTTTTTTTCCTTGCATTCAAGTAATACATCCTATTCCCTAGCCATAGGAACTGGTTTAAAATCATTCGCCCAACTACGCAGCACGTGACGCTTGTTTGTGCGTTTGATGGCATGAAACTGTGGAAGGATAGGCTTGTACGCAACATGTCACCGTTCAATCGTCTGGATGATATTTTTAGCCCTATTTATCCTCACAATAAGGTATTACATCCTATTCCCTAGCCATAGGAACTGGTTTGAGATCATTCGCCCAACTACACTGCACGTGACGCTTGAAAGTGTGCAATAATAGGCATGTATGTTACATGTCACCGTTCAATCATCTGAATGTTTTTTTACAGCCCTATTTATCCCCTCATTTAGGTAGTACATCCTATTCCTTAGAAATAGGAATTGGTTTGAAATCATTCGCACAATTAGGCAGCCGGTGACGCTTGTTTATGCGTTCGATGGTTTGAACTGTTGAAGGATAGGCATGTACGCAACATGTCACCGTTTAATCATCTGTATGTTTTTTTAGCCCTATTTCTCCTCACATTCAGGTTTTAAATCCTATTGCCTAGCGAATGGAACTGGTTTGAGATCATTCGCAAAACTACGCAGCTCGTGACGCTTGTTTGTACGTCCGATGGCTTGAAACTATGCAACGATAGGCATATACGCAACATGTCACTATTTTATCGCCTGGATGTTTTTTTTTAACCCCAATTCTCCTCACATGCGTAAAGCGACACTAGCGTCAATGCCTATCCGTGAACAAATTCTGATGCACACTGTAATTGAAATGTATAGTGACATAATGTGACGTCAACACCGTAGGAGACATGGTAATGTATTACTTACAAAATAATTACGTTATTTTGCACTATCTGGCATGTTAACGAGCACAGGAATAGTTAGTTGAACTAAGAAAACAAAAGACATTATTTATGTCATTAATATGATGTGTTCATAACAGAAACTAAATGACATGAAATAATAGAATGATGCAAGAAACACTCAAACGACATTATTACAATCATGAAATCGCCAACACAGCAGATTCTCTCGACACCTAGAGCCAATGGGACACCAGCGCACTGTTCCCACAATGTTCCTGAAGCTGATATTGGCTCCGAACCTGTAAACCTAGTCACTCGACCAGTGGGGAGATTTCCGAAGCTGAGGTCCAAGCTGCCCAAGCAAATTCGAGTTTTCCCAAGCTGCGTGCCCTGGTTTCTGTTCGACGCGATGCGTCGAAAGCATCTTTCCCCACTCAAATCGAACAGATACTTCAATCCTACTTTCCGTAACCCTACTTTTCGGGACCCCCCATTTTTGGGATGATGATACACATCTTGGCAACTGAAAATAAAACTCCAACCATAGTCTGGGCGGGTTGGTCCGAGCTCGAGTCGTCAGTGACGAGCGTCTGATCGGACGGCCCAAGACTAAGGGTGCGTTCCTGGCGCGTGTCAAACTTCCGGCCAAACTTCGTGTTTTCCGAGCCAGGGGCAAATTTTTGCGGGAAGACCCGAAGTGGGGCCAGCTGTGGGGCAAGCTTCGTGTCATCCCTGGAAGGCTCGAAGTTTGACACGAGCCAGGAACGCACCCTAAATAGAGATGTTCTCGCCACGACAGACGGATGAGGCAACGGTTTCGAAGCGGCCACCCTGTCACAGCCTGATTCTCTGTACGCAGTAACAGATCATATTGAATTATATAATCCCAGTCATTTCCAATGCATTATTCTCCCTCTGTTACAGGGGGTTTTACTGTTCATTCCGAACAGTACTTTTCCCAACCCATCCAACCTTATCTTCCTAGATTTCCATGTGCCACGTGGCACTCTACTTTTCTACCTTCACAATTCCTAGTCCCACAATCTACTTTCCAACCTTGTTTCTTGCATGCTATATCAACCTTGCTTGTAATCCCTCATATCAACCAATTCTCATTCAACTCTCTTTCAATTACTCAGTAACTTCTTCGCCTATTTCGCCAATAGTCTTTTCGCCAAAGCCTTCCGCCGCGCTTTATCCTCGACTTAGTCGACCCCGCTAATTCTTTAGCGGACTTAGGCCGTCGGGCCTAACACTTGGTATCAAGAGCCTTCGCGGGGAGCGACTTCCAACGAGCGGCCGTCGACGACGAGACTACGACGTCATCGTCCCGCGGTGCCGACTTGCAGACTTGGAGTCGTCGAGCGAACATGGACGAAACCATGCACGCTCTGTCGAAATAACAGACTGGAATGGATGAACTAGAAAGCAATGTGAGTACAAATATGAAACCCTAATGTTGTGACCCCCTATAGGCTAACCCACTACAGCCTACACAAGCATAACATATATAATGTTTGACACACCCCCATAGGCAAAGTGGGGGAGACCTAGGGGTCACAAGACCAGTCAAGGCAAAGCAAGGCAACAACAAGCTCAGGGTGGATCTCAAGGATACCACACAAATTCCGAGCACAAGCAAGTGGTCACAAGACCAGTTCACATGCAGGTTTATAACAGAGCATGGGATACAGTGATCACAGTACAAGCAAGGTCAAGAGGTAAGTAAGTGAGGTCCAGTAGGCACAAGGCCTAGCAGAGTGCAGAAGCGCTGATGGTCACAAGGCGGAAGCGCCTTGGTGAACACATCAGCAAGGTTGGCCTCAGTGGCCACGTAACGCAGACAAAGCTGACCGCGCTGCTGCAGCTCTCGAGCAAGGAAGTACCGCAGGGCGATGTGCTTCGTTCTGTGCTCCAGTTAGTGCTCCTCACACAAGGCAATGGCAGCCTGGTTGTCGACGTACAGCACTGGAGGAGAACGAGGCCGCTCTCCCAAGTCGGTCAGCAGGTAGGTCAGCCAGCGTAGCTCCTGGGCAGCCATGGCTGTGGCGTAGATCTCAGCCTCACAACTGGAGCTGAGAACAGAAGAAGAGCGTGTAGAACGCCAAGAAACTGAGCCGGAGCCAAGGCTGAAGGTGTAACCCTGAGACGACCGCTGAGTAGCCTGGTCGTCTGCCCAAGAAGCGTCTGAGTGTCCAGTAAGTACAACTCGGTCTCGCCCTCCAAGCACTAGCCCCATGCCCGACGTACTGCACAAGTAGCGCAACACCCTCTTAGCGGCATCCATGTGCTCCTTCCTGTGACGGCCAGGAGCGACATAGCGCGCAAGGATGCTAAGAGGGTATGCAAGGTCAGGTCGAGTGCAGGTCATCAGGTACATGAGGCAGCCCACAAGCTCTGGATACGGGCCACTCGGCTCTACGGACTCATCCGAAGGCAGAGCTGAGAGCGAGTGACCGGTAGGCAGAGGAGTGGACTGAGGCGAGGAGTACTGAGGCGGAAGCGCTGAAGGATCTGCTGCACCATGTGTGACTGAGTCAAGGTGATGGTGCGCCGTGCTCTGTCCCGGGTGATCCGCAAGCCAAGATAGCTTGTCAGTTCACCCAGGTCTGTGCACGTGTGTCTCCTCTGCAGCTCCGACTTCACGTGGGCGAGTGCCGCGGTGTCAGCAGTGGCAAAGACCAAGTCGTCGACGTACACGAGGATGTAGAACGGCGGCAGTGAGGTGTCTGTGCGTAGAAACAGTGACGGGTCAGCAGTAGAGGGAGCGAACCCAAGAGCCGCAAGTGTCGTCCTCAGTGTGTCGTGCCACTCACGCGGTGCCTGGCGGAGACCGTAGACCGGCCGCTGAAGCCTCCACTGGGTACCAGGAGGAACCGACCCAGTGAAGCCAGGAGGGCGGCGCAGCCAGATCTCCTCGTGCAGGCTGCCCTGCAAGAAAGCAGTGCTGAAGTCAAGTGAGTGAAGCTCGTAGTCGCGCTGAGCGGCTATGTGCAGCAGCACCCGAAGAGTGGTCATCTTCGGGGTGGGGGAGAAGGTCTGAAAGAAGTCAACTCCCTCTCGCTGACTGAAGCCTCGAGCCACGTAGCGCGCCTTGAAGACAGGAGGAGAACCCGGCGGCCGCTTCACCCTGAAAATCCACATGCCACTGACGATGTTCGCCCCAGGTGGGGGAACCTCGTCGACGTAGGTGCGTGTGGACTTCCAGGAAGCCATCTCTGCGTCCATGGCTGTCTGCCACTGAGAGGAGTAGGGACCCGCCATCGCCTCAGCGTAAGTGCACGGGGTCGGGATGTCTGGTGCATCCGGGTCTCCCTCAGGGGCAACTAGCATGGACACGAGGTGGGGCAAAGCAGCAGCAAAGCACTGGAACTCCTCCTGTCTGTCCTCAAGGACGTCCATGCCAAGAGCACACTCACCCCCGACGGACGGAGGACAGACAGACGCAGACTCAGACTCGGCAACAAGGCTAGTGGCGTAGTCTAGACGACACCGGGCAGCAAAGTCTATCAACTCAGCGACCAGAGCAGACGCAGCAGAGGACTCAAAGGTAGGGTCAGTGACAACAGTAGCGAGGAGACGGGTGACAGTGGGACTGGCAGCACGACGGGAGTCAGACTCCGGATCAGGAAGAGTAGGCAGAGAGGACGCAGGAGGAGACGGCAGCGGGACATGCTGAGGAGCAGTGGAGGGACGCAGAGTCATATAGTGAGTGCCAGGGACAGGAGGAGGACGCTCACGTGGGACACGACGACCAGTGCGAGCAGTACGAACAGGCGACGCAGGACGAGACTCAGGCTCACGACGCTCTGTAAGACCTCCCGTGGGACCAGTGTAAGGAGAGGGAGCAGGGAGAGGCGAGGCAGGCGGTAACTGTGACGGCGACTGGACACGCGGAGGACACTCTACTGAGGGAGGAGGACAGGGAGGAGGAGCCTGACCAAGAACCTGCTGAAGAAGTGGTACGAAGTACGGTCGCGGCCGCGTAGCGTCTCCAGAACCAGCAGAGACACCAGCGGCAGGGTCCTCAGCACCAGCAGCAGCTCCAACGTCCGGGTCCTCAACACCAGCAGCAGCTCCACCGGCCGGGTCCTCAGCACCAGCAGCAGCACCACCGCTCGGGTCCTCAGCTCCAGCAGTAGCTCCAACGTCCGAGTCCTCAGCACCAGCAGCAGCTCCACCGCCCGGGTCCTCAGCACCAGCAGCAGCTCCAGCGCCCGGGTCCTCAGCACCAGCAGCAGCTCCACCGTCCGGGTCCTCAGCTCCAGCAGTAGCTCCAACGCCCGGGTCCTCAGCACCAGCAGCAGCGCCACCGCTCGGGTCCGCAGTACCAGCAGCAGCTCCAACGCCCGGGTCCTCAGCACCAGCAGCAGCCCCAACGCCCGGGTCCTCAGCACCAGTAGCAGCGCCACCCCCAAGGTCCGCAGCACCCGGAGGACCACTCCGAAGACTGCAGCGGCGTGTGTACCACTCTCGGATCTGCTGAATGGGGGGGAGCTCCTGGGTAGGAGGGGAAGTACCGGGACGAGCTCCAGCAGCACCTCTCCGGAGGCGGCAGTACTTGAGGTACCTCTCCTGCAGCTGCTGGGAGGAGAGGGCTCCTCCAGGTGTAGCACGCTCAGTCTCAGCACCCCCAGACTCCGCACCCCCAGGCTCAGCACCTCCAGGCTCCGCACCGCCAGGCTCCGCACCTCCAGGCTCCGCACCCCCAGACTCAGCACCCCCAGGCTCAGCACCCCCAGACGCAGGACGAGAGTCAACAGCTACCTCGACCGGCTCACCCGGGTCTACCTGGGACACACCTGAGGGAGCGGCACCCTGAGGGGGGAGGGGGTCTGGTACCTCAGCACCTGGAGCGAGGAAGAGAGGCGGGGGGGGGAGCGGGGCAGTGCGGTAGGGGAAGAGGCGGTAGTAGGGGACGGACTCGTCAAAAGTGACGTCCTGAGAGGCCAGGACACGACGCGAGGTGGGGTGGTAGAACTGCCAACCAGGGGCGTCCGGGACAAAGCCAAGGAAGACGCAGGGGACAGCGCGACGGGAGAGCTTGTCCGCGGACGTGTCGCGGACAAAAGCTCGGGATCCCCAGACCCAAAAACGCGACGCATCGCCAGCCTCTCCCGTCCAACGCAGTGTCGGAGAAGTCTCGGGCAAGGAGACACGGGGCCAGAGGTTGAGCTGATGCGCAGCGTATCGGACCGCAAACGGCCACAGGAAATGGGGGGCAGCCGCATGACTCAAGGAGGTACGAGCGACCTCCATGACTAGACCAATGCGGCGCTCAGCAACCCCATTCTGCTGTGGAGAGTCCGGAAGCGTGAACGACTGCTCAATGCCCTCCTGCTGACAGAAGGCCTCCAGGAGGCCAGAGGAAAACTCCCCACCTCTGTCAGAGTGCAGACGCAGGACAGGAAAGTCAGAGCGGAAACGCTCACTGAGCTGGAGACGAGATCTGCGGATCCAAGGGATCAAGACATCAGGTACGTCACCCTTGGCTCGCAAGGGGAAGACCGTGGTGTAGCGCGAGAAGTCGTCAACAACGAGCAGGAAGTACCGCTCCTGACCCTGTCCACGGACGCGGGCTGGGCCCCACACGTCCAAGTGGAGCGTCTGCAGGGGAGCAGTCGTCGGGGGAAAGGAGGAGGAGTGAGGAGCGGCGCGCTGCCGCCCCTCGACACAGGGAATACAGGGAGGAGCAGGCGAGTCGGGAAGGGGAGGGAGCACCCTGGGAAGACCAGCAACAAGGTCCCGTTTGTGCATGGCCCGAAGGCGCTGCACAGACGGGTGACCAAGGCGGTGGTGCCAGAGGACAGTCTCATGCGCCAGAGAGCGACACGAGCAAGGGGCGGACAGCTGACCTGACGCAGACGCAGACGCAGCTACCGGAGGGGACTCAGTGGTCAGTGTGTACAGGTCCGACCCCGGCTCTCGAGTGAAAGTAGCCAGGTGGCGACCCGTCCGAGCACACGTGCAGTGTGTCACGCGCTCGTAGGCAGGGGTGAACTGGTGAACACCCGAGTCCTGGAGCGCACAACCCGCCACCAAGTTCGTAGAGAACGAGGGGAGGTAGAGACCTGACAGCGTGCCGGACGGGACCGCCGGACAAGGAAGGACAGTGGAGGAGGTCGCAATGACCGGACCCCCAGAGGGGTCAGCAAGGGAGACAGCAACTGGCCGAGCGAGGGGCTCGAGGACAGTGCGGTCACGAAAGAAAGAGCGAGAAGCACCTGAGTCCAGTGTGAAGGTGTGCAGTGCTGCAGTCGACTCAGTACCAGGGGGCACAGACGCACTAGCACCTAGGGCAGCAGCCTCACCAGGACCTGTGGGAGCGGACGCACTAGCACCTAGAGCGGCAGCCAGACTGGCCTGAATGCCCGGGTCGGGCGGAACACGCAAGTACTGAGCACCCTCTCCACTAATAGACATCGCATACATGGCAGTGAGAATAGCATCAAAGTCTAGAGCCCAAATATCAACACCCCTCTTTTCCAGCTCAGCCCAGCGCGGCAGCTCAGTGGCAGTAGGAAACTGGGTGCGCCACGCGTCGGTAAGGCGCGCGAAGCAGCGCTGCGTGGGGTGCGGCCTCCCACACTGCTGGCCGCTGCGGTCACCTGTGCGAATGACGTACGTGCAGGTAAAGCCACGCTGCGCATACCACTCACGGGCGGCCTGAAGCGTCGGGGCGGGCTGCTGACTCTGTCCTCCGCCAGTGCCTCCACGACCACCACCCCCTCCGCCTCCGCCCCGGCCACCTCCACCCCTGCCGCCACCACGACCACCTCCGCCTCCGCTGCCGCCTCCGCCCCTGCCACCACTCCCGCCGCTGCTGTCGCCTCCCCCACTGCCGCCACTAGCCTCCTCAGCCGCGCCTCCACTCCCACCGCCTCCACCCCCACCTCCTCCGCCGCCACCCCCGCCCCTGCCCCCCTTGCTCCTGCGGCGCCCGCTCGAAGCAGACGCGGTCCCGACCTTCTCAGCACCAAGGAGGTCGACAGCAGCAGCAGAGGCGACAGAGGGGAGGAGGGGGGAAGGGGAACACCCCTCAAAGAACGGGGTGCGGGGGTCGCCACGAGAGGTGCCTACAGCGACGATGCTCGCCTCAGCTGCAAGCAGTTCCTTCTCGAGGAGGTCAACGGTGAGCTCAGTGGGGGAGCGAGAGAGGAAGTGGTCCCTGACTGCGCGCAGAGAGTCAGGGAGGCGGGTGACGATGTGGTAGAGAGTGATCCAGAGCGGGGGGGGGGTTGCTAGTGAGAAACTCGGCAGGCATAGCAGCGCGAAAGCGGGCCTCACTAGTCTTAAGGTGGGTGATGAGGTCTGCGACAGTGTGAAAGGAGGCTAGGTCGGGGAACAGGTAGGGGAGAGTGAGGCGGCCTAGCGTGGCAGAAGCGGGTGAGGAGTAGCGGGCAACTACAGCGGTGTAGAGGTCCTTAGCAGTCTTGCTTTGGCCGAAGTGCTCGCGCTCGTCTAGCGGTAGGGAGTTGCGAATAGCAAAGCGAGCGTGCGCATCACGGGTCTGCCACTGGGAACGCAGAGTGCTGTCAGCAGACGAGTCAGGGGCAGTGGCATGGCCTAGGGCGTGGTCGTACAGTGAGATATCTTCCTTGGCAGTGAGCTGTAGGAACAGGTGCAGGTCATCTAGCCAGGTGTCGAACTTCACTGGACGGCCCTCGGCATCGAAAGCTAGAACGGGAGGACTAGCCATAGTGACAGTAGCAGTAGCAGTAGTAGCAGTAGTAACAGTAGTAGTAGGAGTAGGAGCAGTGTAGACTGGGCTGCTCAATACGGGGGGCACGGCTCGGTTCAGGCGGCGCTGCTGCGTGTGACCGCTAAGCGGGGCTCAAAAAGGGGGGGGGGGGGGAGGGGGCCGCGAAGCCGCTAAGTGGGGCGCGGGCGGTGCACGGGCAGCTCGCGGGCGGTGCGCAGGCGGTGCGCGGGCTGCGCGGGCGTAGCGCGGACTGCGCGGGCGTAGCGCGGGCTGCGCGGGCGTTGCGCGGGCTTCGTGGGGGCTGCGCAGGCGGTGGACGGGGCGGCAGCGGGCCTGCAGGGGCGATCGCGGGGCCGACGGGGTCGCTAAGGGGCGAGTGGCGGGGCCGGTAGGGGCGATCGCGGGGCCGTAAGGGGATAGCGCGGGGTCGTAACGGGGCCTTAAGGGGCGGCGCAGCGGGGCCGTAAGGGGTGGCGCAGCGGGGCCGTAAGGGGCAAGCGCGAGGCCGACGGGGCCTTAAGGGGCGACGCGTGAGACGCTAGGTGGGGCGGGTCGCGGGTGCTTAGGGGCCGAAAAAAAAAAAGTCGAGGCGCCCTAGGTAGGTAGGTAGGTAGGTAGGTAACGGTGGGCCCTTAAAAAAAAACGGTCCTAGCGAAGGACCTGCTCTGAAACCATGTCGAAATAACAGACTGGAATGGATGAACTAGAAAGCAATGTGAGTACAAATATGAAACCCTAATGTTGTGACCCCCTATAGGCTAACCCACTACAGCCTACACAAACACAACATATATAATGTTTGACACGCTCTCCCCCACGACATGGGCAACACGCTTGCCGAACTCATGCGCCAACTTCAAGAGTTGACGTTGGAAAATCGTCAGGTACGAGCTGAAATGCAACAGCTTCGTGAATTGGCTTCTAACCCCCATGGTCATGCCGCACCAACTCCTGCACCCACCACGTCGACTGGCGCGGAAGCGCTGCCGGAACGTCGCAGCGCACTCAAGCCGCAGAAGCCCGAGTCGTTCGACCCAAGTCAACGCGACGCGAACGTGCGGACGTGGCTCTTCATGCTCAACAACTACTTCGCCGCGAGCGGGGTGCAAGAGGCGGACGCGCAGCAGCGGATCGAGTACGCGGTGACGCTGCTGAGGGGCCCGGCCTTGGAGTGGTGGCGCCAACTTACGCAGACTGCTGTTAGAAGGGCTCAGACGGACGGGCATCGACAGGGCATGGGGCATGCAGCTGCAACATCGAGCTTAGGGAGTTTGGCTTTAGGTGTTACCACGGTTCCGACCACATGGGAAGGATTTGAAGCGGCGCTGAAAAGTAGGTTCGACTTGGTGAACGCCTCCGAAGCTGCTAGGAAGCGTCTGCGTCATTTCCGCCAGATAGGGAACGTCCAGGAGTACACACGACGGTTCTTGAGTATCTGCAACGAGATAGACGACATCACGGAAGCAGAGATGCGCGATCGCTACCTCGAGGGGTTGAAGCCGGACATAGCGGAGGTCATAGCAATCCATGGGTTGTCCACCTTCGAGTCAGTAGTCGCAGCAGCAGAACGCGTCGACGCAGTACGAAGCCGACGGGGTCGTGACGATCGCGATAGGGGATACAGCAGACCGATCAACGACGCTCGATCGAGGGACGGACCATCGCCCATGGAGATTGGTGCAGTTAACAGTGACGGTTCACAGCGGACGGGTTTTAGGGGGAACTGTTACTACTGCAAAAAGCTGGGTCACATGAAGCGGGACTGCCCACAGTTCAAGGAGCAGCAGCAGGGAAACGGAAACCGCCAGTAGATAGCGGGTCGCTAGCTGGTGTGGAGGTTCCCGTACCCGCCACGTCTACCAACGTAGAGGAGACGGCCTCGCAGCAGTCATCTACGGAGAACGGGGTAGACACTGTTGATCGTCCAGTCGTGCTTCTAGGGAAGCTTCGCGGAGTTCCTGTTAAGATTCTCGTCGATAGCGGAGCTAGCCACTCGTTCGTTTCGTCTTCATTAGTTAGTCGTCTCCATCTCGAAGCAGATACGGCAGTCAACTTCAAGGACGCTCGCATGGTAGATGGGACGCCGCTTCACATAGGACCAATCATTCGCAAGTTGCGCGTAGTGCTAGGACCGATCATTGTTAGGCGTGACTTTGACTCTGCGACGCTGGACGGTTACGACTTCATCTTCGTTAGAGATTGGCTACGGACGGTTAGTACTCAGTTCGATTGGGCTCAGGGAAGCTGCAGTGTCAAGGTAGACGGGGAGTTCCGGGAGCTGCCACAGTGGAGCGATGGGGCCACATCATCCACAGCTATCATTAATGCTGTTCGTGTGCGACAGTTAGTGAAGCGTGCGGCACGGATCTTTGCGGTTTTCCTTGAGGAGGTGGAAGCTGAGGAGGGGAAAGGAGGGAGTGCAGCAGTTAGTGAGAAGACGACTCTTCCTGCTGAGGTGAGTGCACTGTTAGCAGAGTTCGCAGACGTCTTCCCCGACGAGTTGCCCCCAGGGTTACCTCCCAGCCGAGCAGTAGACCATCGAATAGAGTTGGAGCCGGGGAGCAGGCCAGTAGCGAAGCCGCAGTGGAGGTTGAGTCCAGCAGAGACAGAGGAGATGACGCAGCAGGTTAGGCACTTTCTCGCGCAGGGGTTCATACAGCCATCTAGATCGCCTTGGGCAGCACCGATCCTGTTCGCGCCTAAGAAAGACGGAGGGTTACGGATGTGCATAGATTACCGCGCACTGAACGCCGCCACCGTCAAGAATAGATTCCCGGTGCCGAGAGTAGAGGATCTTCTCGATGCAGTGCAGGGCGCTAGAGTCTTCTCCAAGATCGACCTTCGTTCGGGTTACCACCAGATTCGCGTAGTTCCAGAGGACCAGCACAAGACGGCGTTTCGTACGAAGCAGGGGTTGTACGAGTTTAGGGTTCTACCGTTCGGTCTGACCAACGCCCCAGCAACATTTCAGACGCTCATGAACACAGTCCTCTCGGAGTTCCTAGGTTCGTTCGTCGTAGTTTACCTAGACGACATCCTCATCTTTTCCAAGTCGAAGGAGGAGCACGTGCAGCACTTGCAGAGGGTCTTTGAGGTCTTGCGGAGGGAGAAGCTGTACGCGAAGCAGTCGAAGTGCGAGTTCTTTCTCCCCGAGGTCGAGTTCCTAGGACACGTCGTATCCGCTAGTGGCGTTAGGACCGACCCGAAGAAGATCGCAGCCGTACAGGATTGGGTGGCACCGACCTCAGTCAAGGAACTGCAGAGCTTCCTCGGATTCGCTAATTATTACCGTCGCTTCGTTCAGGGTTACGCATCGATCGCTAGTCCACTCACCGACCTACTTCGGAAAGGCGTAGAGTACGTTTGGGGTCCAGCGCAGCAGCAGGCGTTCGAGCAGATGAAGCAGTCGCTCACGTCTGTCAAACATTGCATGTTTATATTGTCTAGGCTGTAGTGGGTTACACCTTAGGGGGTACACAAAGTTAGGGTTTCCTACTTGTACCAAACTCTGTTCTAGTTCATTCATTCCTGCTCAGTTATTTCTGACATGGTATCAGAGCAGGTCCTTCGCTAGGACTGTTCTTAGGGCCCACCGACTTACCTACCTGCTTACCTTCGCTTGTTTCCGGCCCCGCTGGCCCCGTCGATCTAGCACGATCTAGCGGCCCTGCGGCCCCGTCGAAATTTTTTTTTTTTTCCTAGCGGCCTCTCACGGCCCCCGTCGCGTCGCCCCTTAGCGCCCCGATCGGCCCCGTCACGCCGCCCGCGAACCGCACAGCGCGCCGCGCTCACAGCCCGCGAACCGCCCGCGCACAGCCCGCGACCAGCCCGCGCAGCCCACGCACAGCCCGCGAACTGCCCGCGAGCAGCCCGCGACCTGCCCGCGAACCCCCGCGAGCCGCCCGCGACCCGCTTACGCAGCCCGCGAGCAGCCCGCACAGCCCGCGCTGAGCCTGCGCGGCTCATACGCTGACCGCCGCCGGCCCGCACGCTGCCCGCACTGCTCCCGGCCCGCCGCTGCTGAGCCCGCAGCCGCCCGCGCACCGCCGCTGCTGAACCCGCCGCCGCCCGCGCACCGCCGCTGCTGAGCCCGCCGCCGCCCGCGCACCGCCGCTGCTGCGCCCGCTGCCGCCTGCGTATCACCGCTGCTGAGCCCGCCCCTGCTGCGCCGGCTCTCGCTGCCGCCTGCTGCGCCTGTGCACCACTGCAGATCCTACTACTACACTTCCTGCTACTGCTGCTTGTGCGCCACTACAGTCCGTAGGCCCCACCGGCCCTGCTGACCCTGCGCACGCCTGTTCAGTGACTTTACTGCTTCTACTACTGCCGCTGTCGCTATGGCTAGTCCTCCTGTTCTAGCTTTCGACGCCGAGGGCCGTCCGGTCAAATTCGAAACCTGGCTAGATGACCTGCACCTTTTCCTACAGCTCACTGCCAAGGAAGATATTACACTGTACGACCACGCTCTCGGCCATGCGACCGCCCCACTCGCTACTGCCCCCCCAGCTGAGCGCTCACAGTGGCAGACCCGTGACGCGCACGCTCGCTTTGCTATTCGCAACTCCCTGCCGCTAGATGAGCGCGAGCACTTCGGCCAGTGCAAGACTGCTAAGGACCTCTACACAGCTGTAGTGGCCCGCTACTCCTCACCCGCTTCTGCCACACTAGGCCGCCTCACCCTCCCCTACCTGTTCCCCGACCTAGCCTCTTTTCACACTGTCGCAGACCTCATCACCCACCTTAAGACTAGTGAGGCTCGCTTTCGCGCTGCCATGCCTGATGAGTTCCTCGCTAGCAACCCCCCCCCGCTCTGGATCACCCTCTACCACGTTGTCACCCGCCTCCCTGACTCTCTGCGCCCTGTCAGGGACCAGTTCCTCTCTCGCTCCCCCACTGAGCTCACCATAGCCCTCCTCGAGAAGGAACTGCTTGCAGCCGAGGCTAGTATCGTCGCTGTAGGCACCTCTCGTGGCGACCCCCGCGGCCCCTTCTTCGAG